ATTAAGCTGAGTCAGGCTTGATTTTTAGTAATCTTTTCCTGTTGAATCAATAAATCAAATCAAATCAATCAAATCAAGCAACTCTGTTGCCCTCCATCAATATTTTCCATTTCAGCCTGAGTTGTTTCTACCTTCTCCTCTCTGTCAACACTCTGGTTTCATTTAAAAGAGCCACTCATCAGAAGTTGTCCAAGATTAACCTTCAGGGTGGATATAGCTCGCTAGCAGCCTCGCACCGAGGACCTACACTTCATCATTTAGCCAGAATGCTTTGCGTGTAAATAAAATGGCCCTGTCCGTGTAATATATTTTTTACCTTTTAGTTTAAAAATGACAAAAACTGAACATCCTACAGTATTTTTACAGTCTTTATTTTATAGTTAAAACATATGTTTATTAAAWAAAGTCTAATATTACAACTAATCATGGATCCCTTTAAGAGCACTCCATTATTAAATTCATGGTGCATTATTTTATCCTTAAAAAAAGTGCAGAAGCTGAAAGACAATACCCAACACCAAAGGTTCTAGTTAGTGTGCATGAAAAGTGCACACTGCTGTCTTTCTGTTGCTCTTTATTATTATTTATTATACCGTCAACTTCTCCTGTGCCATGCATTGAGTCCTGCATACTTTGTCCTAGAGCTACCATTGTAACTTCTAATTGTAAATCACACTCCTAGGATGATGGCTATGACTCATACTGGTCTTAAAACATATAGTTATTAAATTTTATAAGCTTTTATTAAGCTTAAAACTGTCATTACATGTAMTAGTGGCAGCAGTTTTGTTATTGAGCAAAACTGCCATCAATCCTGACAGATATGCTAATTTTGAACATGTTGGAGATTTATTTACTTCACAATTTGATATTTTGAAAAGTATATGTTTGCATGAGACCTATTTAACCTCATTACAAACACATTTTCAGTTCTATGGCATAAGCCAACACTTCCCATCTCCCATCTTGTCACATATTGACGCTTTGTCAGGTACCGTCTGCGTCTGGTTTTGATGCGTCAAGTAACTCTCGCGTCAGTTATTGATGCTCATGACTTTTCTGGGTTTGTGCCACATAGGGGTCTTTGGGTTGGAGTCCGTGGTTAATATTAAGGATCAGGATTACTGGTTAATTTTAGGTACTGAGGTCAGGGATAAGATGTCTAGGACTAACAGAAGTTAAATTTAGGGTCTGCGAAGGTTAGTTGTTGTGCATTTCTTACTCGTTTCAAAAATATGACAACATGCTCCTCCTCCTCCTCTCATCTTGTGAATACCTAAACCGGACGCAGACGGTACCTGACCAAGCTTCAATATGTGAAAAGTTGGGAGTGAGAATGGGTTTGCACAAGCTAATGGTGATTGTAGATATCATCCTAAATCACATCTGGACTTAGTGGCTTTCAGTAAAGCATGAAACTTGGCTATTTTGCAGTATTTCATTGTTTTTATCTTAAGTCAAACTAGATTGTATTTGTTCTGTTTTTTTTATTTTTATTTATGTTATAGTGTGTTCAGTCAGTGTTACTTATTTTACAATTATTTCTGTGTGTAGCATTGGAGCCAGTGGCAGTTGTTTCTAAATGTACTATTAGAAAATTTCAGGCTTCAGGCAATGGTGTGATTCATTTTCAATGTACACTTGCTTTTTTGCAAAAAAAAATGTCTAGTTTCTTCAGTTATTGAACAGAGCAAGACCTAGAAATTGTAGGTTTTTATTTGTATTTTTAACTTTTTCCTGCCCTAATCCAGTGTGTTTTGTTGTATAGGTGACTACTTTGGCATTCTGATGGATAAGAAGGTGACAGGGTTTCCCTTCAGTATCATAGAAAACCCAATGTATTGGGGAAGCACTGCCAACTACCTGGGCCTTGCACTCATGTAAGTAAGTTTGTGGATTTTCAGAAGTGTAAATGGTACAAAAATGTTATTTCAGTTTATTTGTGTCCAGTGATTTGTCATTTAATGTCTATTTTTTAAAAAAAAGAGTTGTAATTAAGTTTTAATTAGAAAGTTCTAGGCTTAAAACATCAGTAGAAGTGATCTTTCACATGGAGGGGCAACAGTTCTGATCTTCATCAGATGCTGTTAAAATAAAAATACTGCACACACGAGCTATATGCATAATGAATTGTCACCTGAAAATGGAGAGTTTTGTTTTCTCCAAGTTGCAACTCACTCCTGAAAAAGGTYGCAAGGTAAAAAGTTTTACGTGCTCCAGTCTCTATGGCAACTGTGACAACATTGCTCAGCGCTCAGTGTGCGTGGTTGCTAAGCAAGCTTTCCAGAGTTGATGAGCCAGCCGCTAATAAAAGCTGTTGGGTTCCTTTTTTTTTCCTCTCAGAGCTCATATATGATCCTTGATTATCATTACCATGTCTGTTGTCCCTTTTGTATTGACTAGTTTGATTTTAGTCCACTTCTGCTCTGAGCAAGCCAGTGCTTAATTTTCATACCATCTTTCACCCCCACTCCCCTTTTTCTTTCATTGCACAGTCAGTTGAGATATTTCCACAACCCAAACCTCAGCTCTCTTTGCCGTCATCAACCTTTTGTTTCTTTTTGTTGTGGTCTCGAGGGTGAAAAACATACTAAAATATAAAAACCAATCATTCAGCTCAATCTGAGCTGAGACAGACCTGATGATGTTGAGCTGAATGTGTGCAGCCAGTGCAAAAGAAAAAGAAAGATTAAACGTCCGGACAGATTGGTGGAAGTGAAATATATTTGCACGTGTTAAAAGGCCATGTGACTGTTTTGCAAAAATTACAATATCAGATCACATGGATAACAGAGTTGGACGTGCAGGCACATTCCTGGCTCCATGGATACTAGCAGTAATTTAATGCAGAATGGTCACACAATCATACACACAATCATGTCCTTTCCTGCAGCAAGTCAGCCCACAGCTGTTGTAATTAGCCTTCGCGACTCAGCAGATTGTTACTGGTTTGAAGTTGTGAAAAATAGTGTGTTCATTTACTTCATTACGTGTTCACAAACAAATGGAAATATCAACAATACTTGAATGTTTGAATGTGAAGACACTCATACAACCACACAGCGCTGTGGACTGAGAGAGAATTTATTYCTGAAGTCTGCAGTCGACCCCAAGACAGGAAATGCATCCACATTTGACAACTTCTTTGAGACCTGATCCTGCCTACAACCATCACTGAAGGGAACACTTCCTGTTCTGGGGTCAGGTCCTCAAACATCTCTTCCTGTCAGCTCATAAGTTAATCCAAATTCTNAAAGGCAACGTGGATTTTACCTTAAAACTATTTAAGTCTCTTTTACAAAAAACCAAACCACCATGGCCGAAAGGCAACGTGGAGTTTACTTAAAACTATTTAAGTCTCTTTTATAAAAACTCAACCACCATGGCCGAAAGGCAARGTGGATTTTACCTTAAAACTATTTAAGCCTCTCTTACAAAAACTCAARCACCATGGCCGAAAGGCAACATTGGTTTTAAAGACCAACCATCAATATCTGTTCTGATAACATTGATTTTATAGACCAACCACCATGGTATCCAAGATTGCAAGGTTTTGCAACTTAAATCAATGTACCTCACAAAAATGTGCTTTGTATGACTCAACTCTTACATAACACAGCACTCGATCGATGATTCTGTTTATTTTATGTAGTGTTGCCAACCTTCTGAGCCAGAAAAGTCCCTATTGGCTGTCTTAAAAGTTGCTAAAAGTCACTAGATGACATTATCACTGAATTRGCATATTTCTGTTTGCCAATAATTGTAATCTGAGCTATAGTTTAGTTTAATTTATTCATACATTTACATATTTCTCCAGAAAATTAGCTTTTATCGTTCTCTTAAATAATACATATTGATCTTGCATTTTTGATGTCATCTTCCAGATTATTCCATAATTTAATTCCCTGAACTAAGTTGCTCCGTTCCTTTAAACTGGTTGTAACTTTAGGTCTCCCAAACATGTCCATCCCCTTGAGATCATAACCACTCTCTCCTTTAATAAAGTGTTATTGGATGTTTGAYGGTAATGTGTTTTTATTAGCCRTACATAACTGACAAAAATACCATAATCAACTAAATTATAGAATTTCAATAKCTTTAACTGATGGAACCATATATTTAATGGGTGATAATATTGCTTTCTGGTGATAATTTTTATGGCTCTTTCTGTAAAATAAAAATTAAGCTCTATAATTGTTTACATGCTTTTCCCCAAACATCAAAACAGTAGATCAAGAGTGGAACAATTATTGCATTATATAATATAAACAGAGCTTTATCATTACACTTTATCATTTAATTTAAATTTTATTTCATTGTTTATTAATAGAGCCACTTCACCCCATTTTATTACTTCTACTCATACTATAAAGATGATATCCTTTAATGTTATTTGTATGTTCATCGTGTAACAATGATTCTGACAATGCCATTAAACTAAAATTTCTGTATAATTTTTTTAAATAATCTGTTATGGTAAATAATTTAGCATTAGTACTTCTACTGTTAAAGTGTATAATAGATAGACCCTCTTTATTATTATTATCATTAAATTGCTCAACATTGTAAWATTCACCGTCTTTGATTGTTGGAATACTTTTAAACCTATCATTTCATCTTTAGAATCTGAATCACTGTATGTCATATTATGATGTAAATGTCCATTTGTTCTTATACTTCCATAATTTTGCTTACCCCAGTTGTTTCATTTACTTTTGTAACTTGGCCCTTCTTACGTTCATTTAAATACCTCTAAGTCCTTCAGCTCCTTAATCATTCTTGCCCGTGAACCGTCCTTCACTCTCACCCAAATATTTACATTGCATGTCCAAGCTGCAACTATCTTTTTTCTGTTCCTTCAACAACTTTGCTTCACGTACTATGGTTCCATTTTTTAATGTTCATTTATATAAACGTTAAACACAGAAGATGAAGAAATGTGTGTGTGTGTGTGTGTGTGTGTGTGTGTGTGTGT